TATGGGAGCCTATGAATCCAGGCCAGCAACTCGCATTGCAAGCAGCATTAGATCAAATAACAGGTCAAGATTAATGTTAGCACAATTAGTTATTTGTACCTGTATTAGTCTACTATTGCAGTAGTTATTCAACTATGTTTAAGAGGTCCCCACAATCACCCCCAGGTTCGACAAGTCACTGGGAGGATTCACAGGACTTAACACTTATATTTGTACTCATGGCTATTACTTATTACAGTGCAAGGATGCAAAACCCAACCAGCAAAAGGAAAAGGCACTTCAGGCTAAATCCAAGAGAAACCACGAGCAAGCTTCCAAGTGTCTTCTCCCAGGGCAGTTGCAGAGGATGTGCTTAATTCCGCCTGCAATTAGTTGTGACAGCATGTGTGAAATGTTGCCAACTATGGAAGCCCATTGGAGACTCAGCACCCACGGTCACACAGGCAGCCTCTGCCTAGCACCTACCCAAATCCCAGATTCCCAGAAGGAAAGTAGGTATTCAGCATAAACCATATTGTTTGCACAAATAGTTTAGACAAAATTAGCCAAGTTCCCAGAAATGAGCCAAGGGTCAACCTTGCAAATAAATAGGTCTTTTGAAGGATAGCAGTTTAGGCCACCTATGTTAACTCTTTTCTGCACAACCACACAACAAACAACTGCAAAAATCTCAGTATCTTGTAACAGCAAGTATTTATTTTTCTCAATTAATTGCAGAGTTTGGTTGTGGTAGGCTAAACTTCAGGTATTAGACTGAATTCAGATCTGTTCCACAAATCTCCACAATTCCAGAACCTGTGGCTTTCTGGAGGCATGCTCTTCTCATGGCAGGTGACAGAAATAGAAGAGAGCAAGCTAAATCATGCAAACACCTCTAAGGTTCTGCTTACATTACACCCTTTTAACATTCCATCAGCCAGAATAACAGCCAAAACCAACATTAGTAGGGTGAGAAAATAGCCTTCAACAGTTCTAGTAGAGAGAACTGCAAAGTCACATGGCAAAGAATATGCATGTACAAATTATTTATAGGAAAGGAATAATTAATTGGAAACAAGAATCCAATCTACCACAGTACCCTAGGAAACTCACCAAACTCAGAGAGCAAATTGAGGTTAAAAGCAGCACATTATCACTTTTGAAAATGAAATGTCTTGGTTTGTTTACTAGTTTATTCCCACACTTATACCCAAAGGAGCCTTGATACAACCAGGAAAACATATGCAATTTTAGTAATATTCTATATACATTTTCAGTAATAATGAAAGTATTAATGGCTAACATTAATAAGTACTTACCATGTGCCAAGAGTGTTACATGCATGATTTCACCTAGCCCTTAGTTGGTGAGATTATTATCCCTATTTTATAGATGAGAAAATGGAGGCCTAGAGACTTGCTGAACACCATAAAGCTTGTAAGTGGTGAAGCCAGAACCTGAATCCAGGCAGCCTAGATCCGAAGTTGTACTTTTAACTATTACAATATTTTAAGGGCTGTGCTGGGGCACATATGCCACATTGCAACGCTTCAATACTGGGATATGGAAGTATGCCACAATTGTGCAAGTACCGTCACATTTTCATATGACAGTCAGTTCTCATGGACTCAGAAAGCTAAAATGTAATTTTCAGGAAAAGAAAATTTTTATCCTACTCACTAAAATATCATGAAAACTTAAGTTTTTCCTTACAGAAACATTATCAACATACCAAAGTATTAAATTTCAATGTTATTTAAATGTCAATATTTCTTGTCTTTGAAAAAATGTTTTATGAACACATATCATTTCTCAAAATAATTTTTCAACATTTCTAAACCACCATACCTTTCTACTTTCTAGCCTAGATAAAGCAACTGCTACATGTACTATCTCCTACAATACTGTAACAACTAGGTTTTCAGTCAAGGAAAAATTATCACAAAAGAAAATAATGACAAAAATCTATTTTCTTTTCCTTTTTTCTTTCTTTTTTTTTTTTTTTTTTTTTGAGACGGAGTCTCATTCCGTCGCCCAGGCTGGAGTGTAGCGGCATGATCTCGGCTCACTGCAACCTCCGCCTCCTGGGTTCAAGCGATTCTCCTGCCTCAGCCTCCTGAGTAGTTGGGACTATAAGCGAGTGCCACCATGCCCAGCTAATTTTTGTATTTTTAGTAGAGACAGGGTTTTGCCATGTTGTTCAGGCTGGTCTCAAACTACTGACTTCAGGTGATCCACCCATCTGGGCCTCCCAAAGTGCTGGGATTACAGGTGTGAGCCACCGCGCCTGGCCTGAAAATCTTCTATTTTCATTAAACAAATTCATTCAAGACTGTGTTAAACAATTTTACAATTAGGAGGTTTCTCCATTACAAAGCAAGAATTCCATAATGCAAATATACTTGTATTGCATCTAGAGATTCCAGTCCCTTCCTCCATGGTTATGGGAAGGTACACTTTAATTATGGACATTCATTTCTCTCCAATTGTTTTCTGAGCTTATGAATAATGAAAGCATGATAGCATTTATCAGGAATCGTTAAGGACCTAATGTTAAAAGGCACACTACTGCAATAAGCAGTGGTCTGCCAAGTGTCTCATCAGAAGATGAGCAAATGCTATTGCAGAGTGAAAGTCGAGTCTATCCAGTAAAGCTGATAAAGGCTTTGTCTTAGGGAATTCAGAGGATTACCGACAGCACAAAACATTATCTAGATGTCCTCAGCATGTGAGAAACAAGATATACATAAGAGAACATTACTGTCCTCAGAATACCATAACCAAACAAAGGTGGAAATGAACAAAAGGACATTGCCAAGTGCCAACTATCTGAAAACAAATCTGAAACAAGTGTAGTGTGATATCTTAATCCAAATATTAACAAAGAGGAGACGCAGACTGCATTTTCCCATAATGTCCAAGGCATTTGGAACCAACGGACCATTATTTAGGGAAGGAGGAAGGTGCTGAGTTCAAGTGCTTTTGCTTTTGTTTTTGTTTTTAACACATCCTCACTTATTCTCTCTGCTAGTTTTCCAAGAGCTCTGCCATTTTTTCGAAAGGTGTGATTACCCTGGCTTTTGAGAAATTCCCAGATCTAAGCATGGGAAAGTTCCTTACAGGACATCAAGGGAGGACAAGCTCTACCCACCTTGCAAGAATTCCTTTTATGGCATTTATAACAAGTAGCCTTCCAGAGTCTGCCTGAATACTTCCAATGATTGGGAGGTGGAAGGTTTGTTATCCATGGCCCAGCCTTTTTCCATTGCTGGTGAATTCTGACTATGGAAAAATTTTTCCTGTTGATGAAACCTACATTCCTAAAATATCAACCAATATTCTCACCATCTCTGTATTCTTGAAATTTCAACCCACTGGTATAGTTCTAGCATCCACAAACAATTCAAATTCCAACTCTTCTGTTCCCTAGTTGATTCACATAGTAAGTTTCATTAATTTGTGACTTGCAGGGGCGGCTGGAAGAGTGGGAGGGGAAAAGTGTGACACGGCAATGGAAAAGGGAATGGAAGACATTTGGTTCACAAGCATATTTTATGTTAGATGCAGTGATAAATACAACTCAAGGCCACAAAACGTGTGTATAATCATACATATGTGAGTATATGTAGATGTACATATGTATGTGTAAGAATATGTGAGTATACGTGTATACATGTATATGTGTAAGTAGGTGTGTGCATATGTATGAATATGTGTATAAAATGCCAAGTCAGTCAACAAAAATCTTCAAACTATGTTCAATAAGAAATGCAAACATGGAATTTTATGATATTATTTTTAAGGAGAATATAAAACACACACAAGAGCTAAGCATCGCAGGAGTTGTTAACACACTAGAGAGGAAAAAGAATTCAATCAGCTTATGTCTACATTATGGTAAAAATATTATCATCTCAAAATACCTAAATCATTATGCTATGCTTATTATCTAAACATTTGCTATAAAGTAATGAAGTTCTCAACCACTAAATAAAAATTAATGAATAGATCATGCTACCATGTCCCTTTCTGTAAGTTACTGAGAGGATTCTTGGCAGGGAGGGGTGTAGGCCAGCGATGCTGCACCTCCCTGAGTCTGGTCCAGGATTTACCCTGGCAGTCCCTCTCTGCACTCTGCCTAATTCTAGGCATCACAGAATCAGAAACCAGCGACTCCTCACGAGAAGTCTGGCTACCCTGAGGTGAACACAGCCCCTGCTGGCAGGATGCTCAATTATTAAATAATAGTTAAGATATGTTAATTAGATTTCAAGACAGGAAGGAGAACAAACACATACAGAGAAATTTTCTGCAAATGCAGAAACAAATAAGAAAGCAGGGAAGGGGAGCTTTGGGTAAACTTTGTCAGGATATCCAGCTAACAGACCACAATCTAGAACCAATCAAAATGTTATTCAATTCTATTCATGAAAAAGAATAAAACTGTATTCAGAACTAATAAGGTAAAATAATAAACCTATATAAAAAGTTTTTGTTACCATAAATTCAGACAAAAATAACTGAATAATGTAATAATGATCATTTTCTATGTAATACATAGACCCATTCCAAATTCTATGGTCTGGTAGAGTACAAAAATTATTAATTTTGATCCTTGGGCCAAATTTGGCATGCCATCTGTTTTGGGGGAAAAAAATAGTTGAGTTGGAACATGGCCACACTCATTCATTTGTGGTCTATGGCTGTTTTCACACTACAATGTCAGAGATGAGTAGTTGTGACAGAGACTACTATGGCTCACAAAGCCTAAAATATTTACTGTTTCTTCCCTTATAGAAAAAGTTTGCAGACACCTGCCCTACATAATCATCAACCTTAAAATAAACATGTAGGCCACATCACTAAATCGTGCTAGCCTTATAAAGCAGAAAGAACTTTACTTGCTATATAATGCTCGACCTTTGTTACAAACTAACAACAAAAAGACAGATTTGCAAAAAAATGTTCCAGGTGTAGTGAGGGTTTACACTTTGGAGAAATGCAGCAATGATTCTTCCTACCTGTTTTTCCTCCTCGTCATCTGTAGTGTAATTGGCATCACGGACATTTCCCCAGAGTTGGTAACTTTTCAACTTTTCTTCAGTGGACGGATTACTCTTCTCTTCTGTTGTGTTTTCCTCATCACTTTCTGGGTTATTTTTCCATTCTTTCATCATCTCTAATACATTGGTTGGTCTCACGGAAGAAAGTTTATTGCCCTAATATTGACAATCAATTTTTGGTGTTATAAACAGCTTAGATAATTGAGACGATACCTACATCATTTAGCGAGATAGTCTCCCAAATTCAGTAACAGTCACATGGAAAATATTATAATGCTGAATAAATATGAAAACTTCTGATGACCACTGGAGTACACTCCCTGTACTGACATGGCTCACACCCGTTGCATGATATCACTTGTAATAGGTCCAAGTTAAGAGGGGAAATATTCAGGCTTGAAAGAACAATGCAGCATGCTTGTGCAAAGAACACTACACAGGGCAATTTCCTGGAACCCAAATACCCCCTATAGTGCTGTTCTTAGAAAATTGAGAGGGAGGTTGAAAGAACTAAAGAAGTTGGCCAAAGGCCAGTGGGTCCAGTGCTAGGGAGAGGTCTATACAACATCCAAATATCTAGGAAAAAAAAAAATCTAAATTCAGTCAACTAGTCAAGCACTATGTCTAAGAATATAGGTACTTAATTTGAAATCCCTTACCTGTCTGGAAGATTTAAATATAATGTGGTCATTTGATTATAACTGACTTGGCACAGTGTTCTTATCCCAGCATATGATGATACATACCAAAATTGACCATTTTATATTAACCGTATTTTCCCAAATAGAATACCCTATGTAATGTGCTGAGAAATACATGAATGCAAGCTCAAATAGCTCCTGCTTGATTAGGTGTGTCTTAAATATTTTTGTTCTTACCTCATACTGTTAGAAAAAATTTAGACCAAAGAAATGGATCACATTTAGATTAAAATGAGAAGTTCAGGTGTGGGCACAGCTATGAAGTGATTCTAAATTACTCTGGTATATGGATGTATTGAAATGTTTAGCATCAGTGACATAGAAAACTATGAGACAGGGTATTTTAAGGGTACCTATCTGAATACACTGTTGAGGACTTGTTGAGTTTAATGTATTTGTGGCTAAAGACATAGACAAACACTAAATGTGGAATGCTAATAACTAAATGAGGATCACTATGCAATTAATTCCCTGTGGTTCTTCTCTGTTCCCTTGTTTTAAGAAGCTCAGTACTCCTACCATGTTCATAGCATCCCATTACATCTCACGCTGGTTTTGCACTTGTTCCTCCCTTACCTACTTACTCCTAGAATGCCCTTGCCATTTCTTCCTGCCAGTCCATAGCAAGAGCCTACATTTCCTTGAAGGTTCAATTTAAGATTCATTTCTGTCAGGTATCCCAGAACTCCCAATTATGTAGTCAACTCAAGTGAAAACAGACAGTGGCTCAGCGACAGTAACCATTAAAGAGCTGAAATCATGTAGAATGGTAGATTGTCTCAGAGCACTCATCTGAAGGGGTTCTGCTCTCCAGGGCTCTGCTTGGTCCCTATGATCCATCTCTCCTCTCTTACAACTTCCTGGCCTCATTCTGACCTCTAACTTAATTTTCATAAAATCAGTGACCAGACTCCTAGAATGCAAGTACATACAACTTTGCCTCAACTTGATTCTTTCACTAGCAGAAACTGACAATTTGACACATCTAAGTCTGCAATCCCAGTCCCTAGTGGCTCCTCCCTGAAAAGCCCTCCCCCGGTTAAGTCTTTGGAAACTGTGGTAGTGATTAAGGCTACTTGCCCAACATTTCTTCCTTCTAGGCTCATGGTAGAATTTCACTTCTCTATCCTCTTTGGGATGTGACCATGTGCCTTACTTTGGCCAGTGATTCATGATTGGAAACTGTATGTATCACTTCTGGGTGAAAACTTAAAGAGATAGTATGCAATTAATCATGTTTCCAATTCCTGAACTGGTAATTACAGAAGCATAGAGATGGAGTCTCCCTCAGCTTGGGTTCCTGAGTAAGGACAAAGTGAAACAGAACCTCCTCCTCTCCCCCGAGTCAATTGGCCATGGAAGGTACTAACAGCACTGAGATTTGGATGTCATTTGTTATCACAGCATAATCTAGCTTACCTCGATGTAGATACCAAAGCAAACATTTACATTCTGTAAATCACCTCTAAGAAGCCTTAAAAAGAGTGACTTCGTTGCAAAATCATCATGTCCAACAAAATTATAATTACTACAGAACTCATATGCAACCAATATGATGTGACCGCTCATTTATTTAGGCAGTTCTTGCTCTGCACAGTCCTGATATGCCTGAATTTCAGTTATAATTTACTTAAACAGCGTTAGTCCCCCAAGAGCAGAGTTTAAATTTCAGTCAATATGGTATATGAACTAAAACTCCATAAAGTTCAAACTGCACTGCTAGTTCTTCAGTCCACAAAGCAAACAAACGCATATCATGATCAGTGACCAATTTTGTCACTTCTCTCAAAGGCTATTGGTGATCAGACATTGGGCATCTGCTATTCAGTCCACACACAAACAGCAAAGTGTGTAGTTGTGTTGCTTCCTTTTCTCCCAGGGAATTAGCCAACAAAGATGAAAGTGCAGCAAAGAAAATAAAAGTGATATGCTGAAAGTGAAAACCAAATAAAATATGAATGGAGTAATAGAAGAAATCGCTGACTGGGAATGCTGACACTACCACCATTCAACAGAGTATTTGCCAAGGCACAAAAAGATGCTCCCTCTGTCTTATAAGTTATGTGGTAAGAAGAAGGTAAGTACTATTTAAATGAATCTTAAGTATTTTATTTAAAAAGACACTTTAATTCTCAATATTTCTAACATTCTAAATTACAATGTACTAAATGAACATCAGCTTTACTTTTGTCTCATTTCCCTATATATTTATAACTAACAGAGAGGTACTAATATTTTGACAAAAATGTAAAGGGCATGAAACAATCATAACTTTTCAAATTGATTATTGAGATTTTTTTTTTTCAGTTTCAATCTGTTCTGCCATTTTACTGTCCTACACTACTGTACAAAGCAAGGATTGCCTATATTATTTTGAATCTGCATCTCTAGCAATCTTTCAAATGCCTGGTTCACATACACATACACCCAAGAGCTTGGTAGCTGATATTCTACATGTCTAAAGGAGACTGTCTTCATACTTAAATAAATGACCCTATTTCTCATTCTATAGAGACTGTGGAGAAAAGCAAAGGATCTAGAATAAGAGTGTTATCCTATTTCCTATGTGGAAATTTTTAGCTCTTTGCCTCCTATACTCACTTGCAATACCAAGCCTGGACTAGGTGGTATAGAGTCCAGGCTTTCCCTGTTGTCTAGAGTCCATCTGATAACTTACTATACCACCTACTTCTTGCTTGCTAGCAGTTGAAGGATAAATTGTATCACACACTTGGACTAACCAATAATAAGTGGTCCACAACAATGTATCACGAGCCTTCTAGTTCAACAGAAATTACAAATGAAGCAACCAAACAAAACTGGGGTAGAACTGTTAGGGCAGACACTGTAGATGTATATGTCACCTCACCATCAGAACACTAACCTCTGAACTCCTTTTACTGGCTGCATCTAGGTGATCAAATACTGAACTCATCAATTACAAAATAACAAATGACAAGAAAGCAGTAGCAATAGTTTGATCATCTGAAGCTATCACAGGTAGAGACCCAGCCTTTTGGATAAATTTCCACTTGCTTAACCAACAGATAGTTGAGACTATTCACTTAGTATTGAACAATTAGAAAAATGAAACTCAGGCAAGAGAAGAACTGCTTGAATACTAAGACTTGAATTTAATCCTTTAGTAGACAGGCCCATAATGGAGACCCAATCACATTTCCTCATCTAAAAAATGCTGCCTTTTAAGGGATAGTGCCTATCAGTGCTTTGTAAACAGTAAATACTTAATAAGCACTTTAAAATAAATGAATGAATGACATGTATGAGCTGGGGTGAGATGGTATGAACCCAAATCAGCAAAGCTAAAGGAAACATTCTGGATCTTTAGCATGCAGTCACCATTCTCTGTTTTTGCAAGGAGCTAGAATAGTTTATTTTGTAATGTTCCTAGGAGTAAATTTTTTCAATAGAAAAATGGAACACTTTATTTAAAAACATATAAAAGAATGGCCAACTTCACAAAATAAAATCCAAGTCAAAACAATGTGGTGCCAATTTTCACCTAATAGATAGACAAAAATTTAAGTTTGATATTCCCTGTGTGGGTGAGGGTGTGGGGGAACAAGCACTCTCACTTACTTGCTTTTTATGAAAAGGTAAATTAGCAATAATTGATCAAAATGTAAAATGCACATTCTCTCTGGCCAGTAATTCCACTGTTAAAAATGTATCTTATATAAACTGGCACAGTATGCAAACACATATTTACAAGAACATCTGTTGTACTACGATGTAACAGAAAAGATCTGAAACAATTTAAATATTCACAGGGACTATTTACAAAATAATTTATAGTTTGGAATACAATGTTGGTTTTTAATTATTTTTTAATTTTTAACTGTTTTTAGGTTCATGGGTACATGAGCAGGTTTCTTATACAGGTAAACTCATGTCACTGGGGTTTGTTGTACAGATTATTTTGTCACCTAGTTACTAAGCCTACTATCCAATAGTTATTTTTTTCCAGTCCTCTCCCTCCTCCCAACCTCAAGTAGTCCCAGTGTCTGTTGTTCCCCTCTTTGTATCCGAGTTCTCATCATTTAGCTCCCACTTGTAAGTGAGAACATGTGCTATTTGGTTTTCTGTTCCCACATTATTTTGTTGAAGATAACAGCCTCTAGTTCCAGCCATGTTCCCATAAAAGACATGATCTTATTCTTTTTTATGGCTGCATAGAATTCCATGGTGTATATGTACCACATTTTCTTTATCCAATCTGTCATTTATAGGCATTTAGACTGATTCCATGTCTATGATATTGTGAATAGCACTGCAATGAACATTCATGTGCATATGTGTTTATGGAAGACTGATTTATATTCCTCTGGGTATATACCCAGTAATGGGATTGCTGAGATAAATGGTCGTTCTGTTTTTAGCTCTTTGAGGAATCGCCACACTGCTTCCCACAATGGTTGAACTATTAATAATTTA